ATATTACTCATATATCATGTACTCTTTTCTTGTCTAGGTTTTCCGGCAGGATTTTTCTAGCAAGTTTTTAACGAGGCATGATTGTGGTCAAATAATGTCCAAGGTGAAGTGTTATAAATATTTTATTTAGTATGGACATTATTATTAGTTTTGTAATGCTTGTAACAACTATATCATTAATTCACTGCTAAATTATAAGTAGATTTTCCCTTAGGCTATGCAAACATAATATTTAGTACTCAGAGTATAGATATTTATATATGTATAATAAGTATACATAACTCTCCAAAATAAAAGTTCCCAAATCATGACTTTCACACAAGGTTATAATAATTTTCCTAACACATCAACGATCATTTATAAACAACCAACACGTTTTAAAATATGTTTTGGACATGAAAACACCACAACAACAAACACACGCAGGCAAAACCAAATGACCTTGCGGGCCTAAGGGGCCTAAAAGTAGTCCCGGGCCAGGGCTCTTGGCGGGACCAACGAGTCCTACCAATAGAGCCCCGCGACCATGTGGGGCTATGCGGCAGGACTAGGTAGCTTGCGACTGGTCGTGGCTTGGTGTGGCGGGACATACTAGTCCACCACACCTAGCGTCGCCTCCTTGCAGGGCTAGCCAGCAGGGCTCCTAGGCCTGCGGCTAGTCCCGTAAGGTCACTTGACAGTGAGGTAGTAGTTTTACTTCCTCCGGCAAACAACTTCACAAACACTATTGCAGACATCCAAACACCTCAAAAACAACCAACAATAAAACTCTAACATCACACAAGGATATAACTTCAAAATACACATTTATAATACCACATTTCATCATTTTCAAAGCTCAAAACAGTGATAACACCAACAACACAATATTTTCAGAAAATAAGGCAAAATAAATAGGTTTTAGGCTTCCATGATGTCTTACGTCAAGCTTGATACCCTAAGAGACAAGAATCCCTCCTCTAAGGGATTGGAGAGGAGGCAAAGAGAATAGTGCCATATATATATATATAGGGTACAAAACCCTAAGTTATTAGAGAGAAGGGGAGAAATTGCTAAGTGAGAGCAATTTGGGAAATGTGGTTCGAAAACTTTGAGTTATAATTTTGGGTCAAAAGTTAGATCAAATTTAGACAAAAACAAATTTTGATTAGTATAAAAATATGTTAGGTTTATTTTGAGTTCAAACTAGACTCAAAATAAGTAATATCAGGATCACATGTTCGTCTTAGATAGACTTTTGAGTTAAAATTTTAGATAGGATTTATATCATCATAAAAATAGGGTTTATTACAACCAGGAGGATAGCCATGTTTCTTGTAACACTTTTCAATAGTGTGCCCTATATACCCACAGTAACTATACACAACCTTTGGCTTCTGATTAGAGTAAGGCCTTCTGCTACTGTTATCAGACTTTGTGAAGAAAACACCAGGTCCTACTAGGTTGTCTGGTAAGCTGTTTGGAGCAATCTCTACTTGCCTTTCTTGTTGGGATACCATGACAAATGCCTCCCAACATCAGGAAGAGACTTCATCATCATGATCTGCCTCTTAGTGTTAGTAAAATTCTCATTTAATCCAAATAGAAAGGCTGTCAACATGTCACTTTCTACATGTGTCCTAATCTTTTCAGAAATGTCAGTTCCACATTTACAGCTAGGAGTACATTTACAAGAAGGAATAGGTCTTAGCACAGCTAGTTCATCCCATAACAACTTCAGTTGAGTGAAGAAGTCATTTACAGATGAATTACCTTGCCTTGTTTGGTAAATTTCAGTATGAATTTCAGCTATTCGGAAGATATCCTGCTGTCTAAAACGCTTCTTCAAATCTTTTCACACTCCCTCAGCAGTGTTGATCCATAAAACACCTCGTGCAATGATTGGAGATATAGCTCTGAGGATCCATGACAGCACCATTGTGTTGCATTGATCCCAATAGAAATATTTAGGATCATTCACATTAGGAATCGCCATGGTTCCATTCACCAGTGTTAGCTTGTTCTTGGATTTCAGGGCCATTTCCATAGCCCTTGCCCAGGCATGATAGTTAGATCTGCCTTCTAGGTGTACTGACACCAATTGGAGTGACGGACTCTCATTAGGAAGCAAGCTAAGGGGATTCGCACGTCGTTTGGATCAAAGACCACTGGAGTTGCATTAGATCCCGGAACAGGGTTTGGAGCAGTTGCAGATGAACCAGCCATGTTTCCATTTGCAGTTGATCACCAAGCCATCGCTTAAAGCTCTGATACCATGTTGATAAACATGGAGAGGCAAAGAAACGAAGCTGAACTCAAATAGATGCAAGAGGAAAAGAGTAAAACTTGATTGAGAAGATGGCAGCTACATCTGTTATATACAAGAGCAAAGAGAAGATGAAAAAGGGGAGGGAAAGTTAGTTATGAGCCTAACTAACTAACTAAGCTTTGTATATTCATCCTTGGGCTTCTTGAGCTTGAGTTGTGTTCATATCACTCAACAGGATTGCCATTACATCTGCGATTGGCTATGTTGCCTTCACTTGTAGTAGAAGAGAAACTACATGCTATTTTGAGTAATTTTCAAGAATTTCAAGCAGTCAAGGGCGTGGAGGACAATCAAGGATGGGAATAGGAAGAAGATAGATATGAATTGTGAGTTTTGCAATTCCAAACATACATGCGACTTGCATTCTGTGATCTTCCTGAGAAGGTTTTTCGGGTTCCACGACGATGGTGAGCTAGTTGTTCGTGCTTATGCATGCGGGAATGGAATGTTTCAGGAGTTTGGACCGACTGGCTGAGAAGACAACCCAAGCAATGAAAGGATGATTTTACCCCTAAAATTGATGTCTAAATGAGGCTTAGGTGACGGAAGGACCAATGGTGAAAAGATTTTGATAGCGAAATGTCAATTTGTCCAAATTAAAAGACGATGACCAAATGTGAAAAACGACTATAATCAGATGACCTTTGTTGGAATTAACTCTAAGAAAAAGTGTCAAATTAGTTATCTAAGTAGTAAGTATAACAAATAGTACAATTAGGTCCCTTAAATAAAATTTAAAAAAATAAATCATTGAGGTCCTTCAAACTATTAAAATAGTGCAATTAGACCTTAATGTTATCTATTCAACACATTATTGTTGATGTGCTGCTGAATAAACTAACATGTGGCATCCCAATGCTTAAGTGGATCCTACATGCATATATAATTCTTTTTAAATTTTTAAAAAGTTAGAAACAATTGTAGCATGTCCGTCAACGAACAATACAAATTCACATTAGATGGATTTCAAAATATGTAATACTTTTTCTTTGGGCCAATAACTGAAAAAATATTACTTTTTTTTTAAAAGCAAACGAGAACGATATATTAGAATTGATCCGAAATACAATCTAGAGGTGTTATTAGCCACTCTCCAAGGACAGACGATGAACCAGCTACCCGCGCTTGCGTGTGAGCAATCTGATTCGCTGACCTTCTGACATGGCGAACACAGACGTTCCCAATGCCACTAGCAGTCAAATGACACTGCTTAACAATCAAACCAACATAAGAAAAATCAAATTTTGGAGAATTAAAGCTATTACAAAAGTTCAAACAGTCTAACTGAATAATGTAGCCCGGAGCCGAACGATTTTTTATCCACGTTAGAGCCTCCTTAACAGCCAAAGCTTCCGCCAGATATGGGTCATCTCCACACAGCAATGTACCACTTCAGGCAGCCACAAAGCGACCACCATGGTCCCGGAGAACAGCCTCGAATGTTACCATTGCCCCGGTTACCGCAGCGTCGACATTACACAAAATTATTCCCGGTGATGGGAGGTTTGTCACTAAAGGTCCTGAATTCGACCATAGCATCTGCATTGAAATATTACTTGTTTCTTGAAAAGTAAAAAAATATAAGAAAAAAAATGTCAAATTGGTTATCTAAATATAACAAATAGTACAATTAGGTCCCTTAAATAAAATTTTAAAAAAATCAATGAGGTCCTTTAAACAAGTAAAATAGTGTAATTAGACCCTAATATTATCTATTCATCACATTATTGTTGATGTGGTGCTAAATAAACTAACATGTGACATCCTAACGCTTATGTGGATCCTACATGCATATATAATTTTTTTTTATTTAAAAAAATTAGAAACAATTCTAGCATGTCTATCAACAAACAATATTACAATACAACCATACTTGTGTAGGTTTGGACCTCAAAGATGTTCAAATTTGATAAAGGCAACTGTGGCCGCCTTTGTCCAATCGTTATACTCTACACCACGGCGCGCGTAGCACTGTGCGTCGCGCGCCTCCCAAAACGACGTCATTTTGGGGTCATTGGGAGGCGCGGTAGGAAGTTGCTGTGATTATGTATATTTGTTCACACAATTATGTATATTTGTTCATACAATTATGTATATTTGTTTATACAGTTATGTACATTTTTTATACAATTATGTACATTCTTTTTATACAATTATGTACATCCGAATCAGCAAATTTGTGTGTATTATGTTAAGAGTTGATGTGTATTATGTTAAAAGTTTATGTTTATTATGTATTATGTTAGATTATGTGTATTATCTTTTAAAAAGAGTATGTATATTTTGTTATATAATTATGTACATTCATGTATACAATTATGTGTATTCTAGTATAACATTATGTACATTTTTGAACAGAGATTTTTTTTTAAAGAAAAAATAACTGCCATACACTGGGGCGGGAAATTTCAAAAAAAAAAAAAAAAAAATTAAAACGACGTCGTTTTACATCTGGACGCACAGTGCAACGCGCGCCGTGATGTATGATATAAATTGCCGCCTTTGTCTATGTAAATTTATATCTCTTTGAAGTCAAAATCTAGACAATTATGATGGTCTTGTCTGTTGATTGATAGTGATAGGCTATTTGTCAAAAGAAATAAGGGTGAAGTGTCAAATAGCACCCTGAACCAACAACGAAATGTCATCCCGCACCCTAATCTTATATAAGTGATTATTTGATTCATAAACCAAAAAAAATTGTTCGCCTAGCCTTTTTAACAGGTAACCTTCAAGTTAAAGGTTATAAGTTGGTGATGTGGCAATGACTTGGCTGCGACGTGTCATGTTTTGTAGATGTGGCATCCATTAACTATTTACTGTAATAACAACTTCGAAATCAACTCTAATTTCTGCGTATTTCAAATCAAATCCCTATCAAAGTTTGAAGAAACCTAAATCCCAAATCCCTATCGCGACTTGAAGAATCTCATTCCCAAATCCATAATCTCAAACCCATCCCTAATCTCTAGCTTAAGCCCTAAGCCCTAATCTGTAATTGTAGTTCGAAACCCTAAATCCCTAAACCGAAAAGACTGGAAAGAAGACTGGAAAGAAGGCTCAAACCTCAAACCGAGTAAGGTATGTAGAATAATATCTGAGTATCCTTGCGAATATATGCTTTTAATATGTAATTTTATATCGATTGTGATGTAGTGGGGTCATGCTATATTGTCTATAAATTGAATATATGTTTAGCTTTTCGTAGTGGGGATTGAATATGTTTAAATCCTATATATGTTTAAATTGAATATACTGTCTTTAAATGTAGTGGGGACCTACTGCTTTAGCTTTTGTTTAATTTTGTATTGATTGTGATGCAGTGGGGTCCTGGGTTTAAGTTGTTTTTGTCTGTATATACTGTGGTCCTGCTCCAGTTAGGCTGTTTTTTTGGTCTTGCTGCTCTACTTTGTTAAGTGTAGAAATGTGCTTTATATATACTATATGATGTTGCTGCTCTAGTTTGCTGCTCTGTATAAACTGCATGATGTTGCTTTAATGTTAAAATGTGCATTGTATTTTTTTGTGTCAGGATGACTAATAGGGTGGATTTAATAATTCATCATGGTGGTAATTTTGTCAAATCCCCTGCGTTAAAATATTTGAATGGTGAAACAGAGGTACTGGATGTGGACCCTGACTTAATATGTTATCCCCACTTAATGAAATATATATCAGCCCAAAGATATGGGAAAATAGTTTCACTTACCTATAAGTTGACCTCTGAACCCTTTACAGCTTTAAAACTCTTACATAATGATGCTAGTAGTCTACATTTAGCTAAGATTGCTCGTGAAAATCAAAAGTGTGAGATATATGTTGAGCATGGGGTAGATGAGCCTGAGGTGGTTGGTTTATGTTTGCCTGGGCCTAAGGATGATGGGAATGAAGCTGGATTAGTGGGTGAGGAAGAGGTGGCAGAAGCTGATATATTGGGTGAGAGATTAGGGGTAGAAGATGAAGTATTGGGTGAGGAAGGGGGGGCAGAAACTTCAGAAGATGAGCATGGTGGCAGTGAGGGTGAGGAAGAAGGGAGTGAAGTAGATGCTGATTATAGTGGCAGTGAGCATATAAGTAGTGACAGTGAAGGTGAGGAGACTACAAATAGGACTAAGAGGAAAAGGAAAATAGGAGTACAAGCTGAACCTATACCACAATCTGTGCCCACATCTGAAAATCCTTTAGTAGATGAGGCAGATTCTGTACGTGTACTATGATTCACAAAATCCACCAACTGTTGAAGAAGACTTGGAGAATGAGGATGGGAATGAGGTTCAATCAAGGTACAATGATAAGTACCCTAAATATAACTCTAAATCTGATCCACCCTTTCTTGAATTAGGCATGTATTTTGATGATAATGTGCAGTTCAAACTTGCCATGATAAGTTATGCTATACACACCAAGAGGGATTTATTTTGGAAGAAGAATGGTTTAAAGTATGTTAGAGTGGAATGTCTTGGAAAGGGGTGTGGATTTCATGTGAGTGCAGGGTGGGAGGAAAGAACAAAGTGTTTTCAATTGAAAGCTATTCATTTAGATCATAAATGCAACAGTCAATTCACCTTAGGCATTGTTAGTAAAAAATGGTTAGAATGGAAATATGAAGACAAGGTTAGGCAGAATCCAACTATTGGGTATTCTGAGTTGAGCAAAGATATAAAGTCTGAGTTGAACCTCAATGTCACTGTTAGTATGTGCAGAAGGGCAATTACTGGGATTCTGAAGAAGCTTGACATAGGGTATGAGAGCCAGTTCAAAAGGATTAGGGATTATGCACAAGAATGCTTGAATTCTAACCCAGGCTCTACTGTGAAGATTCACACAACTAGCACTGTTCCTAATTCACCCTTGGTATTTCAGAGGATATATGTGTGTTTTAATGCAATGAAGAAGGGTTTTCTAGGGGGTTGTAGGAAGTTTATTGGTCTAGATGGCTGCTTTCTGAAAGGTAAATTGAAAGGTGAGATCCTCTCAGCTGTGGGCAGAGATGGGAACAATCAAATGTACCCAATTGCCTGGGCTGTGGTAGAGATTGAGAATAACTCGTCATGGAGCTGGTTTTTGAATCTTTTGAAGACTGACTTGGAGATTGAGGACAGCACTCAATGGACTTTAATGAGTGATCAACAGAAGGTAAATCTGTTTCTACATTCAATATGTTTCTGTTTCTGTTTTCTATAATCTGTTTGTGTTTCTGTTTACTATAATCTGTTTCTTGTTTCTACAGGGGTTATCTACTGTAATTCAGGAACTATTCCCTGGTGTTGAGCACAGAAATTGTGCTAGGCATGTCCATGCCAATTGGAGTAAGACTCACAGAGGGATGGTTCTAAAGGGACTGTTTTGGCAGATTGCAAAGACCCCTAATCAAGCACTACTTACAGATAAGGTAAAAGCTTTACAGAAGGTAGATGCTGCAGCTCTTCATGATCTCAATAAGTATCCTATGAAATTTTGGTGCAAAGCTTTTTTCAAAGAGGAAGTGCGATGTGACATGACAGACAATAATTTGAGTGAAGCATTCAATAAGACATTGTTGGATGCAAGGAGTAAGAATATCATTCCAATGCTAGAGGACATAAGAGTTGCAATGATGAAGAGGGTTGCAAAGAAGAAAGCACTTGGTGAAAGATGGAATGGGAATTATGGCACTATTATTATGAAGAAGTTGAATGAAAACATTATTGGGAGTAAAGATTGGGAGGTGGTTTTCAATGGAGTTGATGGATATGAGGTGAAAAAGGGAAGGTTTCAATTCAAGGTCAATTTAGATTTGAGGACTTGTTCTTGTAGAATGTGGCAATTAACTGGTTTGCCATGTCCTCATTCCATTTGTGCAATATTTCACAAGGGGGATCAGCCAGATCAGTACATACATATATGTTACAGTAAAGAGATGTACATGAAGACCTATGAGCATGTACTACAGCCCATAAATGGAGAACAATTTTGGCCAAGGGCTGAAGGTGGTGAGTTACATGCTCCAGTTCCAAGGAAGATGACCGGCAGACCCAAGAAAAAAAGAAAGCTTGAACATGATGAAAAGAACAAGGATAAAAACAAAATAAGTGAAGAGGTTAGAAAGTTGTCAAGGAAGGGAAGGGTAATGACCTGTCAGCTATGCAAGGGGAAGGGGCACAACAAAAGATATTGTCCTACCCAACAAGGACAAGCTGGTGATTGACTGTTTTGGCAGTGACTTTTGGCAACATAAACCTGAATGACTGTTATGACTGTTTTGGCTTATGTATTCTATGTAAATCTGACTTATTCACTTGTGTAATGTACAATGTAGTATGACTTATGTACATATGGCTTATTGCCTTAATGCTTAATGATTTTTGGCACTTGTTTGGCAGTAACTTTTGGCAACATAATGCTTATTCACTTGTTTATGGCTTACTGATGTTTTGTATTGGTTTACTGTATTAGCCAGAAAACTGAATTTTGTATTGGTTTACTGTATTTTTTTTTAAACATCAATCTCATCTGCATCAACCTGCAAGAAATGGCTTCATCTCTAAAGTTGTAGATCCACCAAACAAATATCTGCACAGCAGGTCAGCTCAATAGAGCCTCATCCCTGCTGCCAGTACCACAACAAGCTGTAGACCCTCAGAGATTGTCCAGCAAACAATCCATCATTGGGTATTCATTCATTTCTCAATTGGGCAGAACAAGTCTCAGCTAAATTGACTTCATGGACTAGTTCCCCCGAACTTATTTCATACTGGCAATAGGAACTCCTTTTATCACCCTCAGCATACTGGCCATATGCATCATGGGGTGATATAAGGTGTCTCTTAGCTTTAACCACCCTCAAGGTGCTTGCAGAGGACTAAGCAGACTGGGGTGATATAAGGTGTCTCTTAGCTTGTGCTTGCAGAGGACTAAGCAGACAATTTGAATTAGTCTGCAAGTCTGCAATAATCAATTATTACTAAGTAGACTGCAGCTTACAGATTGTGTATTGCTTAGAAGCTTAAAACTAGCAAGAAGCTACTAAATGGATATATAACACCTTCACTGAGGCTCGAACTCATAACTTTCCAAATGGAAGTCCAACTCGAGTACCATTAGACTACATAATCTTGATGGTATTTCATATCCACTTAGTAGCTTAAAATCATCACATTATTCTGCAAAATTGGGCAGAACTGGTCTCAGCAACAGCTTCCTAGACCAGTACTCCCATGATTGCTTTTAGAGCTTAAGACAGCTTCATCAGCTTGGTTACATGTATTGGTTTACTGTATTGGTTCCCCAATTTAGGTGGTTTGAGTTGCTTTAAGATTACAATTGGTTTACATGTTATGCACTACTGATTGTGGTCTGGAAATCAACAAGTTTGCCCAAGAATAGAATGGACTGGAATTCAGCAATTATGGCAACTATTCAAAATTGCAGAAATTTAAAATGGATTGGAAAATATGACAACAATTCAATGCAAGCTGGACTGGAATTCTGCAATTATGGCAGAAATAAAAAATTGCTTCATTGAACAATTATGGCAACAATGACAGTGCAGACTGGAATTCAATGCAAGCTGGAAATTGAAAGTGCAAACTGGATATTAAATTGCAAACTATCAATTTTTCATTACAATGCCAAACCATTACAATTTCTAACTACAAAGTTTTGCTAGAAGCACCACAATTACAATTAGGAGAACAACACACTTGATCCTCAACACTTCCTTTTCTTTTTTCATACCACAATACTCATTTACAATTAATTCTTTAACAACTTCGATTTCATTCCTCAAAGATACCACCATCTTCTTTAGATCTTCATGCTCACCTTCAATCCTCCTTGCACTATGATCATTCCAAAGGAAGAAGCCACAACCATTGCCATCCTATACATACAACTCAATTAACAAAATTACCCATAAAAAAAGTAAAAAATTACCACAATAAAAAAACCAATTAAAATGCCCCAAAAACGAACCCTAGCTTTAACTTTAATACAATTGAAAAATCAAAATTCATACAAAATTTCAATAAATACATACCTTCCATCTTTGACACCCAAAGAATTTCTTTCCCGATTCTCTACTTGTGCACATTGGAGCTTTCAATCCACAATTACAATAAACACTAGGCTCATACTCCATGTTTACTTTAACCCGTGATGAAGTTGAGGAAGATGACATCTTGGAGAGTGTGGCTTCGACGGAGGGAATGGAAACTGAAACTGAAATTGGGTCGTCGCCGACGGAGGAAACGGAAAACCCAGGCAGTCGTCTTCGTCTTCGTCTACAATACGTTTTTGAGATATGCAGAAAATGAATATTTTTTAAATAACCCAAATTCGTAGGAAACTGTTACATTTTAACGTCAAATAAGAGAATTTCGTACCTTTTATTTCCACGTCAGATTTTAACCGGAGCCACGTCATCTAAGCAACAGGGAAACCTGTTAAAAAGGCTAGGCGAACAATTTTTTTTGGTTTATGAATCAAATAATCACTTATATAAGATTAGGGTGCGGGATGACATTTCGTTGTTGGTTCAGGGTGCTATTTGACACTTCACCCAAGAAATAATCACACGAGTATTGGTGACTGTTTTTGTAATAAAGAAATTAAAATTTTATTTTTAAAAAAATGCACGCGTTGAACAGGTTATATTAGAGTCTAATTGCATTATTTTTCCCGTTTAGGAGACTTTATTCATTATTAAAGTTTTTTTTTCTTTTTCAATTAAAGAATCTAATTGTACTATTCGTGAAACTTAAATGACTAATTTGACATTTTTTCTAAAAATATAATATTTGTTGGCCCATACAAAATTAGTACATTTTCTCTAAATAATATTACTTATCTCACGTGAGACGATCTAAGGATTATTATAACATGGACCATTGTTCATCTTGCAAGGTAAATCAAATTTTTTTTTTTTTCAACTTAAGTTTATTTTTCTTTTTCATTTGTATACAAATAAAATTAATATATAAAATATATTATTAAAAATTCTAATTATATTTTAAATAACACCTCTATTAATATTCTTATTTTAATATTTCAAATAAACATATGATTATATTAAGTCATTGTATTAGGTTTTCACTATGCTAGTAGTTCATTTTCAAATTAGTTCATTTTTACAATATTAACGTAAATACATCATTATATTGATAAACATTAAATAAGTTTATTAAGCAAACACAACAAGTTCATTTTCGCATTATTACAAATTTTTTGAAACACATTACTACAAGTTTATTTTCAAAATATCGCATGATCATTTCACAATTGTAATGGAACTACATTATAATGATGGTTCCAAAATGGATTCATTAGTGAAACGTTGCAGACTTGCAAGTTCATTTTCACAATAATAGTGATTCATTTTTACAATGCCAATGTTTATATTTACAATGATATTACATAATACTGATGAAACTAAAATAATAGATGTTTATTTTCACAATGTAGAAGATTCATTTTATCAATATTACAAGTTCATTAATAAACAAGTAAGGTTCACAATATATTAATATGATTATCATTAAAAAGATTTTAAGGAGATATTTTTAATAGTACAAAAAATTAAAGAATAATGTGTAAAATGATAACATACAAATTGATGTCATATTAATGAACCTACAATATTACTATAATGGACCACGATCAACCATGATCAATAGTACTTTTTTAATTAACCTATAATATTATAATAATAATAATAAACTATAATCCATAATGCAAGTTAAACCATGATCCATGATACAATTTGTCACGATGTAACAGCAGAGTACAAGGCCCGCCATAAAATATAGGCAGAAGTGTCAAATAGACTCATCTACTATTGCGAAGTACTCAATTCCCACCACGAACTAAATTAAGGGTTAAATAGATCCATCTATCAGCTAAATTTGTTCGATTGACTTTTTTTATAGGTTGCCTATTCAGTAGTACCTTCTCAGCTGAAAACAGTAGTACCAGCCAGAATAAACAATAGATGGATGTATTAGTATATTGTGAACCTTACTTGTTTATTAATATATTAATATCATTAAGCTGAGAAGGTACAGCTGAAAACAATAGTACCTTCTCGCCGAGCGCAGCTCCAATCTCGACGTCATCAATCCAGGTCCTTTCTAAACCCTAAAAGTTTCACATACACAAAAAATTATCTCGTTTTTTAAATATAAACTACACCTTAGTCGCCTTAGTTCAATGTATTAATTATGTGTAATTGCGGTTGTAATATCTAGGTTCTGAAAATTAAATATTAGAATAGGACGAGCTCAACAGGACAGTCCACTGAACATTCCTCATTGCATTGCTCGTCGAACCAGCCAATTAAGTGCCTAAAAGAAATGTCCAGGATAAAGTCAATCTATATTTTGAAAAAAAAATTAATTTTTTTTTAAGTTTCATTGCCAATCGAACAAATTTAGATGGTAGATGGTGAGCATTGAGCACTTCGCAAGAATAAATGGACCTATTTAACACTTCTGCCTAAAATATATTATATCTAGGCGTTTTGGTTTCAAAGTTTTTGCCACTCAAGCAAAGCTTTGATATTTTAGGTCTCCTAAATATTGCAACATTGTATGTATCAAAAAATCTCCATATATTTCATTAGTCTAAGTTTAACATGCTCATCCACACGAGAACAATGCTTTCAAATCATTTTCACCAAATTTTGATTTGACTTGTAATATGTGAAAATTCTTTAAATTTATTTAACACCTATAAATTCATCAATCTTATCACAAAATATTAATTATTAATCAAATAAAATCATATTATATTTTAAAAATTATGGCAAAAGTTTGAGGCCGGAAAGCAACAAGCACAAAATCAGAAGTGCAATGACATTTGCAATTGATGCAGAAGCATAAAATGAAGCAAAAAGTTTCAGTAAAAAATAATACACACAGAAATAACCGGCTGTTAGCTTCCATACCAACTAGTAGTACGTAACAGTTAGATATTAGTATTGCTGCAACCTAGGAACATAACAAGAAAACAATACAACAACCAACTATATAATACATGTTAGATTATAATATACGAATGAAGCAGATGCTAAAAACATTTTTTGTGAACAATGGAAGGTCCGGTTTCATCATAGTCTGCCTTGGTTATGTGTTGGTTTTGCGGGAACACAACTTTTGCAAGTATGGCGCCACCAACCCATGCCGAATACATAACCAACTTCTCTGGCATGTACTCCGGAGGCTGTAATAATAGAGGACGAAATCTTAAAGCAACAACAAACAAAAAATCTTTTTAAATAAAGAGACCAACAACCCTGACTGCTTAAAAGTAGAGGAATGAACTATTAGCACGACCACGATATTGATATTGATATAGATGTAAATTGTTCAACATGAGATTAGGCACCAGCCTACCTTTACTAGAGCAGGGCTGATAGCAGATGAGCAGAGGCTAGCTTCTTTCTGGAATCGATCTTCAAACCCTGCAATATAAGCACAAAAAAAAAAAAAAAAAAAAAAAAAAAAAAAAAAAAAACAGCTTCATTCAATTAAATTCACAGTGAAGTTAAAGATGATATTCTCTAACAATATATAAAGTGCCCAACCAATCATTGGGTGTTTTCGCCCCTTTTCTTTTCACATCTAAGAGAGGAATATTTCCAACCTCAGAATCTCAAAAACAGACCATAACCAACTTTATGAGGAAAAAAATGAGGAAATTAGATTCCAAGAAATTTTGGATGCAATATTACAGAAATGCATGAAGCATTCTTGCAATGTAGGTTGGTACCCAAAATAAAATAAAATGCTTCTAGTCTAGTTGCAATAATTAAGTTAGGGCCCGGCCCAGATCAAGTGAAAGTATAGGAAAAGAAAATATGATTCCTCTTAAAGAATGTTTTGTAGCAGTGCACTGAATAAAAATTGGAACCCACCAGTGATTGAAGTAGTGCCACCACAAAGCACAGTGTTTTCTAGCAGTTGGCGGTGATTTTCAGATGATACAGTTGAAATACTACGAACAAGTTGCTCCACAATTCCATGTGTTTCTAAACCCAGAATTGAGGATTGGAATAAGGCCTCCCCTATAGTATATCTTTCTTTTCCAATTTTGATAACCTGAAATAAAACATAAACAAAAGATAAGGAATAGGACAACACATAGCTAAAAAGGCAAGTAGAAAAAGGAAACCCACCAAGTGTATATTTATTAATTATAAAGATACAAACAAATTTTAATGAAAGCATCTTATGATGGTAACAAACTAAAAGTAAATACATCCATTGAGGCAATATGTAGACATCAAGGCCACGTTTACATCAGGAAACTGTTCTATTTTTTCTGTTTTCTAATTTTCCAGTTTTCATTCTCTATTTTCTATTCTTTGTTTTCAGTTTAGAAAACTTGTTTATTAACAATCATTTTTTCAAATTTACTTTTTTTAGACTAACGTTATAATTAATTTCGAGTGATTTTTATACCTTATATTTAAAATAAATTTTGGATATGTTTGGTTTGAATGGAATAAATATAATTTTTACTTTTAAGTCTAATATATGTAAGATTTTTACATTTGATATTCAAACCAAATTTATATTTGTATATAACATAACTAAAATTTAGTTTAAATAAAATTAATATTTTTGAGCTAATATTTGAATTTTTTTTTTGGATATATTCAGTGGAATGACTTTTGTGTGTGTGTGTGTGTGTGTGTGTAGAGAGAGAGAGAGAACCAACCTCCCTATGAGTCCATGAAAACCAATCTGGTGCATTAAAAAATTGATATATGGATGAGATTAATTAGGGGAATTAAAAACGCGTGTGTGCATATAGAGCATGATGATGTGTGCATATTAAGCATGTCCCTATGTTGCACACAACAAATGCTTAATATGCAAACATCAAAGTGCTCCATATGCACACGCGCGTTTTTAATTCCCCTAATTAAATTCATCCATAGATCTATTTTTTTAATGCACCAGATTGGTTCTCATAGGTACATCACCCTATGCGTGTGTGTGTGTGTATATAACTTTTACTTTGATGTCCAATATATGTGAAATTTCAATATCCAATATCCGGACCAAACTTGTATTATGATGTAACATAACAAAAAATATCCAAACCAATAAGCTATTGAGATCAATCAAAATCTAAAACTTGGGGTACAGTTCAAATTTTAATTTTGATAATGTAAATAATGTCTAATTTATGTGTAAGCAAATAAATTATGTTTATATAAGTAAATGCGAGTACAAAATATAGAAGATGATTATAGTGATATATAACCAAATAGATGAAAACAGTTTTTAAAAGTACACTAATTTTTTAGAAAACTGGAAAATGTTTTCAGTTTTCAAAATGGAAAATTGTGCTAGTAAATATGTTTTCTGTTTTCTTTTCTTCAATTCTTCAATTTTCTAAAAAAACAGTAGAAAATTTCCAGTTAATAAACAGGCCCCAAAGCTCCATTGAATTCAATATAGTAAGCAACTTATTCCTCCACACACACATGCAAAGAAAAAAATGCTATTTATTTTCTTGAACCAACAATTTTGGATAACCAATTTGGTCTTTATGAAGACCATTTATGTTATTAGAGAGTGGATAAGTGTTGAGAAAAGAAGAGAGATGAGACCATAGTTTTTGTAGAGATTGTAAAACCATATTAAGAGAGCTGGTTCAGGGCAAAAAGACTACAACTTATATTCGGATTAGAAATGATTTGTATGAAATGACAGTTAATTGTGCAAGAATAGTAAGAAAAGAAACAAGCATGCTCCCTACTACAGTACTATTGATGGATGCCTAGGGCAAACACTTTAACCCTTAATTAGTTTTTACTCACCAATGAACTGACTAGGCACATCCAACATGATATGCTACAATGTATGCTTTGTGTTGATAAGATGGCCCACTTGATTAGAATAGGGGGTTGGGTGGATCAGAAGCTGGAAATATGGAAAGATTTTTAAGAGCAAATGGGGTTCAAATTGATTGGTCAGAACTATTGCATCTAAATTACCATTCCAAACACAATTGTAAAACGTCATTAAACTGAAATGGATTGCTATATCCTGGTTTCTTCAAAAGAAAGGAAAGGTGCATGGCTATGCAAATTATAAAATAAAAATTTATAACTATTCTGGTCCATGTAACTATAGTCTATAGCACAGTTATGGATATGGTGGATAGCAATGTACACATAAATAATTTTTTTACAACATCTACAAATTACAATTTATGTTATGCAATTAAAACAAGAAAGGATTAAATTTAACCATAATTTCGGTTTTCAACTAGAGGGATTATCAAAAGCAAAATTTCCCGGGCAGTTGGGCTCTATGAAGAAATGAAGTGATATGCATCTAAAAGCCAAAATAAAGAAAACCTGGCCGTCAGGAAGTGTGTGTTCCTCTTCTAGGCAAGTTTGTTGCATCTTCTTCTCATAAGCAATATCATCCTCAGCACACCATGCATATTGCTCTTTTATCTTCTCAACATCTGACATCTTGAGTTTCACCATTGGATTTGATTTACTCAGCTTTTCTGCCAGCAGCTTTGTCAGATCTACACCGCCAACTTCCAACCTTCTGGAAGCTATGTGCTGAACAGCACCCTCAATTACTGGTGCAATATCTGAAAAATGTCAAATCACACAAAAACTGAGTATATATGGAGTAAGTTCAAGACGACTAGGAGGCACACACAACTATCCTCGCCCTAACTAAACTTTAATCCCAATTAAGTTGGGTTCGGCTACATGTATTATGTATACAGAAAAAACAAAGGGGATGTTTGGAAAATGGCTGACTTTAGCAGATTGATTTGGTCAATAAGCTAAAATGGGTGTTTGATTTAGATCTAAATGATACTAGCACTTTAATACTACAAATACTGCAAAAACAGAAACAATTTTCATTTCTCCCATCATTTCATGGGTGCAGGTGAAGTTTCTTGAAAGTTGAGGTGCTCCATAGTATGTTCATTTTTTCTTTGTTGGAATTGGGACCTCTACATTGAGTTTAACTGTACGCCCTAGGCAACACTAACATAGAAGCTTCAACTCCAAAGAGAAATAAAATAAAAATAAAAATAAAACAGAAATCCAGGGTCATATGTTTTGCACTTAATATTATCATTAACTTCAAAAAGACTCAACTCTGTGTCTCTAAAAACATGTTAAAGGCCTAGATACTGATAACTAGTTAACTACACATGATATCCAAATAATGAAAGGGTATTCTACTTTAAACACGTATTACCATATGAGCCTCATTGAACATTTAGGTTATTTATAAGAAATGCAAAGAAAGATAATAGGAAAAGCAAACTCATTTATCAGAAAATGATGTGTGCATGTATCCACAATTCCACATAGAAAAAAAAATGATTAAGCTATAGATAAGACTGAACTCTTTCAGTTATTGAAAATTTTTAGGAATAATAAGCAAATACATACCTATTTTTCCATGACCAATGTCAACTGTGCATCCTGATATGCGCCCAACAGCATAGAGTGACAGCACTGCTTGCTCAGAGGCATAAAACCCTGAGATGTTAAATGTCTCAAACATCAACTGTACTAACTGTTCCTTGATAGCCTGTGTTGATCAGGAAAGAAAGAATTTAATATTCCATACTAGTAAAAGATAAAAACTTTAAATTATTAAGTTGTCACTTGTCATTATTTGCTGTTTCAAGTTTTGAACCAATTTATTATTTACTAAGGTTCAACAACTTTATTTGTATCCTAACATATAACTATATAAGAAAAGTTTACAAGATCACTTTTTTTTCCTTAATATTGCTTCCACTATCCAAGCGCTTAAGTTCTTCAAATATTTCTCAACACTGGTTGTGTAAATAGTTATCAACAGAAAATAGTTGAACTTATTTGCAATCTATAAGAAAATTCTTTTCTTAATTATAAAGCAATTAATTAACAACTAACTTTAAACCAAACTAATTCTACTTGACCATAATCCACCACTCACTAATAATATCTTCAAAACTAAATCGTAGGTAGCAAAAAAAAAAAAAAAAAAAAAAAAAGTGTATATTTTTCTAGGGTTGAGGATGGTGAGTGGGGGGTAGTTTACCTTGGGAGTGCAAAGTGGATCAGTGAACAAGATTTGGCCCTCATTCCCCATTTCCCAGCCAAGGCCGGTGTAAAGCACATGGTGCAATAGGTCTTCCATTGCATCCCAATCCTTCACAAAGCCACGGACAACTGGGTCCACCGCGTCTTCCTCCACCGTTGCCGTCGCCTCCTCAGCCTCCCCATCCGCGGCACTGTCATCCTCAGGAACGCGTTTCATTTGAGTTGGAATTATCTTTAAAAGAAAACCCATAATAATTAATTTTCATAGGCATGTGAGGTTGTTCTAAATGTGGAGCTAAGCAATTAATTAAAAGATAATAATTTGGCAGGCAAGAAAAAGTGAGTGAGTACTGTACCATGGACGGAGCTTGGTCAGGGACGGCGAAGCCGGCTTTGAGAAATTTAGAACCAGCATCCACCACCACCGCCTCCATCACGGGAGATTTGAGTAATAGATGGATAAATATCCCGCCGATGGGGAAGAATGTGCAGTATGTTGTTTGAAGGAGTGGAGACTACCTTCAAATAGAATTTCAATTTGAATGAAAAGCCTAGTTTAGCAGAGAATTCAGCTGAGACCATAGTTTGAATTTATTAGCCCATGATATAAGGACATGTATTCCCCCGCTCACTTTGGGCCCTCAAATTGGGATCATCCCACTTCCCACTCTCAATAAAATAGAAGCAAAGCTGCTATCATCCACATACAAATGAAATTCATAATCTTGTATGTTATAAATAATATTAAAATGTGGACATTATGATTAGAGAATGTAACGGTTGTAACGGTCAGCATCATTATTGTCATTATTATTGTTGTATTATATATATGTTGTACCCCTCATCTTTGTAGAGTTGATGATGTTATTGGAATGAAATAATTAACCTGTCTCTACATTGCTGCTATTCTCTTTTCTTTTCTTTGTACTGATTTCCATTAAGAATACGATTCCGGGGATGGCTTTGAGCTAAAGGCTACAATTACAACATTGTAGTATTAGTGATTGTATTGATTTAATTCATTATATTCCACAATCAACAAATCATGTAGCCCTAAGGCTTTGGGTTGGATTGGATTATTATACCATGGACATCCACCTCTAAACTAAATTAAATTCTTTTTTCCCTTTAATTTTTTCATCTTTTTATACAAATAAAATTAATATATAAAGATAAAGATGTATGTCATTAAAAAACTAAGTAAGATTTTTTTGTAAATGGCATCCATATTGATATTTTTATTTTAATGTTTTAAATTAATATACAATTATATTAAGTCACTATATTATGTTCATTTTTAATATACTACTAGTTCATTTTCAAAATATTGTAGGTTCATTTTTACAATACTAATGCAAATACATATCATATTATATACTAATAAATATTAAATAAGTTCCTTAAGCAAACACAATGGGTTTGTTTTCACAATGCTACAAGTTCATTTTCAAAATACCATATGTTCATTTGTAGGGGTGAGCAAACAGCAGTGGGTTACATAACTGACAGAAAACCAAAAAACCTATCGACAAACAGAACCGAATAACCAAAAAATTATACAGGTTAAGCACTTATACAATGATACAAACGCAGTCACACACTGTTTTCTCAAACACAGTAACTACATTGGTTATTTTTCAAAAATTTTATATAAAATATTAATGAACAATTAAAGAAAACTTAAAAAGTTCAAACACAATAACACATCGTCCAGACTTCAGAATTATTTTTCAAACACTAACAACAGAGTCCGGTGAGCACAATACAATTTTGTATGAAACATGTCAAAAATTTAATGTATGAAATTCGGAGAGTCACAACATATAATGTATGAAATCCCTTTAAATTTTAATATGTAAAAAATAAAAATTTACTTTGAGCCTTGAAGTTACCGTGACTCAATGAGTGGCTGAAGGGCAAGGCTAAGGTGAGGTCCGCAGAGCCGCTAAGTGCCTGAGTCCCATACGGTCGCCGCTGAGACGGCTGAGTCGATGAAGTGAGGTCTGACCGTCTGAGGATGTGAGGACTGAGGAGCGAGGACGGAGGCCGGAGGGCGTGAGGGAGCCACTGCCTGACCGGAGTGTCGCCAATGGCGGAGGGAGTAAGGTACAGAGGCGGTGAGACACGACGGAGATGAGGAGAACCGTTGTCTGTGGCTTGGAGTACAGAAGCAGAAGCCGAAGAAGGGATCAGGGCTATGCTATTTTGTGTTTTGCATTGGGCTATTGGATTGGGTCAAAAAAATTAAAGTATTTCTTTTGGGCTATTGATAGATTGAATGGTAGATAATGGGACGTTATGCGATGGAACCGTGTTCACCATTCATGGTGAACACGGTTCCAACGGTGTTAGTACACCGTTATATTTTTTTTCTTTTTTTTTTCTTAATTAATTGTGTGATTTTTCTTCTTTATTTTCACATTTTGCGGTTTTACTTTAATTTGAGGTGAATAAAGATTTCAGACATTCATAAATTATGAATTCATGTCTGCACATTCACTTTGGAACCATGCCTACACATTCCCGTTCGAAATCACGGACATTCATAAATTATGAATCTATGCCTGCACATTCACTTTGGAACCATGCCTACACATTCACTTTGGAACCATGAGATTATGAATTTTCTGTTATAAGATTATGAATTTTCTGTTATGAGATTATGAATTTTCAGTTATGAGATTATGAATTTTCTGTTATGAGATTATGAATTTTCATTACATTCATAATTTCGGACATTCATAAATTATGAATTCATGCCTGCACATTCACTTTGGAACCATGCCTACATATTCCCGTCCGAAATCACGGACATTCATAAATTATGAATCCATGCCTGCACATTCACTTTGGAACCATGCCTACACATTCACTTTGGAACCATGAGATTATGAATTTTCTGTTATGAGATTATGAATTTTCTGTCATGAGATTATGAATTTTCAGTTGTGAGATTATGAATTTTCTGTTATGCGATTATGAATTTTCTGTTATGAGATTATGAATTTTCATAAAATTCATAATCTCATAACAGAAAATTCATAATTTGATCAAACGCACGCCGTTAACTCCACGTCCGCGAATTTTTTTTTTTTTTTTGCCTAAAAACGACGTCGTTTTGCCTTGTGTTCACCATTCTCGGTGAACACGATTCCATGGCATAATTTGCGGTAGATAATGGTCGCAAATTATGCCCCGGAGACGATGGTGAACACGGGTCCAAACGATATCGTTTTTACAAAGAAAAAAAATTAGTTAATGTGCTTTTAACAGTGCGCGTTTGTTCAGATTATGAATTTTCTGTTATGAGATTATGAATGTACTGTAAATTCATAATCTCATAACAGAAAATTCATAATCGCATAAAAGAAAAACATTTATTAAATTATAAATTTTATGTTATGAGATTATGAATTTACAGTTATGTAATTATGAATTTTCTATAAATTCATAATCTCATAACAGAAAATTCATAAATTCATAAATTCATAATTTCATAACAGAAAATTCATAATCTCATAAAAGAATATTTTTTTTTAACTGTACATTTATTGCATTTCAAAAACAAATGGTTCTACAAAGACCCAAAAGTGGTCTCAAGCCATTGGCCGAATGGCCAACACCAAAGGCCATTCGGCCTAAACCTAAGAGACGGGTGGTCAACAAATGACCACCCTAAAAAGATGCATACAAGGGGTGGTCCAAAAGTGACCACCCCAATCAAAGATATACTAACTCTATAATCTCAAACTACTAGCAAGGTATCATCACAAGTCCAAGGCCCCAAAGGGCTCGAGCAAACCAAGAGAATGCTCTCCTATGTCATTTCTATCCTTAACCTATTCTCCAATTACTCTCCAACATGTCACAAAATCACGGTCAAGATTGAGCTCCCCGTCCCAACTGAGGATGGGACCGATGCCCTTTCAAAGAAGACTCCAACTACCCCTAGACCATCCTTAAGCCAAGACCCCATTCCCAACGGCACAGCGTACTGTGCCTTATCATAAAAAAAAAAAAAATTATAATTTCATAACTGCACATTCATAAATCCATGCCTGCACATTCATAATTTATGAATGTTGAAGAAACTTGTGCGAAGAGAAAGTGAAACTACGAAATGTGAAAATGAAGAAGAAAAGTCACGCGATTAATTAAGAAAAAAAAAAAAGATAACGGTGCACCGTTACCGTTGGGACCGTGTTCACCATGGATGGTGAACACGGTTCTATGGCATAACGATTGGATAATGGTAGTATTGCAATCGGTATACTGTGCAACCGCATGGTGCACATGGTTGCAAAACGACGTTGTTTCATTAAAAAAATCTCATTCCAATTGTCGTTAACGGCGTTAGGCTATTTCCTTTCATATTTAAACAGTAGGATATATCCAGAATTTCATAACTATATATCCAGAATTTCATAAATATATATTCATAATTTGATAACTGTACATTCAAAAATAATAACTACACATTCATAATTTTATATCCATATATTCATAATTTCACAACTAGACATTCATAATTACATAACTCCATATTTAGAATTCTTAAACTGTTTGTTCACATAAAACTATATTCATAATTGCATAACTACACATCCATAACTTCATAACTATATATCCATAACTTCATAACTATATACCCACAACTTCATAACTATATATCCATAATTTCATAACTATATATTCAGACTTGCATAACTATATATTCATAATTACACGTCAATTGGAGTTTTTGTAAAAAAAAAAAAATAATAAATAAATAAATAAAATTGATTGGTGGAGTTAAACGATGCCACTAATGGCGCCGTTACTCCATTATAGTAAAACGGTGTCGTTTTGCAAACGTGTGCACCATACGGTTGCACAACATAATTTGCGGTAGTATTGAAGGGATCAGGTGCGGGTGGTGTTTCCCTGTGGTTGTGCGGGTAGACTCACATTAAGCATTACACTGGCGCACTTTAAGTACACAACACACGCACATTAAGCACACAAACAAAATACATTCAGAACACAAACTCACTTACCTTAAGCACAAAAGTCACGCATCTCAAGCACAACCCTCACGCACCTTAAGCACAAAACTCGCGCACCTTAAGCACAAAAACACACGCACCTTAAGTTTTAACAACAATTCACATTAAGTACACACTCACGCACATTAAGTACAAAACTCACGCACCTTAAGCACGCAAGACTCACACACCTTAAGAACAAAACCCACACACATTAAGCACAAAACTCATGCACTTTAAAGTTTCAACAATAACTCACATTAAGTACACACTCACACACATTAAGCACAACATTCACGCACCTTAGGCACAAGACTCACGCACCTTAAATACAAAATTCACGCACATTACGCATTACACACTCGCGCACATTAAACACACAAATCTCACGCACCTTAAGCACAATACTCACGCACATTAAGTACAAAACTCACGCACATTAATCACCCGCATAATTGCACTAGAGACACTTACCCGCACTGGAACTATATATATATATATATATATATATATATATATATATATATATATATATATATATATATAAAATCAAATGAGTCCGAGAATTTCTCTCTCTCGGGTTTTCTAGGGTTCTCTCTCCTCCCTTGGAAAACCGAGGATTTCGATCAAGCTTTTTCGTTTTTCACTCCGGTAAAGCACGGGTCTTCTTGTTTCTTTACGTATGGAGGCAGCAGCAACGTCCGGGGTGGTGGGCGGACATAGTTCTTGAAGAAGAGGATGCCGTCTTTGAGCCGGCCGAGGAGGTCACCGGCAAGAGGGCTACGGCAGCAGAGGAAACGTGGCGACTCGTCGGGAAATTCTTGACAACTAAGGTTATTAAAGTGGAGTTTATGAGTCAGGTAATGGCTTCGGTATGGCAACCGGTTAAAGGAGTCCAGGTGACAGAGATACAACCAGGTCTCTTTTTGTTTGTGTTTTATCACGAGACTGACATGCAACTCGTTCTTGATGGTGGCCGGTGGTCGTTTGAGAACCGCACCCTGGTTTGCAAGCAGGTTGGAGGCAGCGCCATACCGGTCACAATTCTAATTGATATTGTTGATATGTATATTCAACTCCATGATCTCCCACTGGGGCATACCTCTGACGTGATTCTAGAATAGATTGGAAATTTTATGGGTACTTTTGTTAAGATTGATGACAGATTTGTGGATGCACCATGGAAAACATTTTACCGTATTAGGGTTTCAATATCTATGCTGAAACCGTTAAAACGGCGTATGAGACTTTTGAAACGTGATAAGACGACCTGCTGGGTGAATTTTAAGTATGAAAGGTTGCATAATTTCTGTTTCTACTGCGGGATGCTCGGATACTTGCATAGGTATTGTCTGAAGGCCCGAGAGGCGGCCTTATTGGTTGATCAATATCTTTACAGCGATGATTTACGTTCTTGGGGGAGGAGAGGACCGCGTAAGGTGGGAGCACCATGGTCACATGGTTACTTGATAAAGAAGGAAATCCAATGCAGGGGTTCAGTCATGACTGTTACGGCGTCGAAATCCCGAAACAACAGCGTCGTGACGGGCTCGGCTACCGGCCAACGGGAGGATGAGGCTGTTGTGGTGGCGGCTTCAAAACGAAGAATGGAAGGATCTGGTGGCAGTGGTAGAAGGAATGATGGTATTAGTGGTGATGTTACAATGATAGAGATCCCAAAAAACTTGTCCTCAGCGGGTTCTGGTTCCCAGACCCGCCCATCATCATGAGTACTCTTAGCTGCAGCTGTCGTGGCTTAGGCAATCCTCGAACAGTTCGTGAAGGTGTGGACCTTGTGTCACGTAAGAAGCCTGATTTTGTTTTTTCTCATGGAAACTAAGGTGGGTCAGATACATGTTGAACGTATTCGTGTCAAACTTGGTTTTGATGGACTTTTTTTTTTTTATTTTTTTTATTTTTTTATGTTGATTGCATTGGTTTGAGAGGTGGATTAACTTTGATGTGGAGGAAAACTAATACAGCGAGGCTTATGAGTTTTTCGAGAAATCATATTGATGTAGAGGTTAGTATCACTGGTTTCCCAAACTGGCGAATGACTTGTTATTATGGTTATCCAGAGCGCAACAGGCATAATGAGTCGTGGGATTTACTTAAATCGTTAGCACCACGGTCCGATCTTCCATGGATTATGGTGGGTGATTTTAATGATCTCCTATTTCAGTATGAAAAGAGAGGGGTAACCCGCACCCAGATAACCTCCTTCGTGGTTTTGGGG